TGCGTGCAGGCTTGCTATTCGTCGCCGGCCCAAAAGGCATCTATGAGGCAACTGTGATTGACTGTTTGCAGACGTCGAGAACACTTCGACTTCACTTCGACGCGAGCTATTCACAAAAGGACTGCCTGTTGGCAGCTCGTGAATAGTACACGGTTAGCCCGCATTGGCTGTTGGATTTTGGTTCAAACCTTCATATCAACTTTGCGTCTGCGTCTATAGATCCTTGAATATACTGATCTACTCCAAGTTGGAGATTAATTTTCGAAGAAGCTACAAGAACTAGTTTTACATTCACCCAATACTGTTAAGTTTGATATACCGATTATCAGAAAAATGACGCGCTTCTGATTGGCCAGTACCCACAATTTTTCACCTCCCGCCCCCCTTTTTAATACAATTATTCATTTGTGCACAGTTCTAAAGCTCAGAGTTCTTAAATTTTTCCGGGCGATCGGCTCTTGTTGTGTCTCCCTTTACGCATTCGTCTATCAGGTAAGTAGTCTCCGCGACATTTTCAAAAATGCAAGTTTCCGTCGGGAATGGGTGGACTGTGTGGTTTGACTGGAGCAGCTCCTTGCAACCAGCCTCCCCCCGAACTAGTCAGTAAAGGGGCACTGTAGTATGCAGACCAATCTCAATATTAGTTGGGTGACGGTTTGGGATAATCGATTGGTGCATGGGAGAGGAAAGAGGTTGTGAAATCGGCCGTGGGAACTGCGTTTTCACCAAACTGAGTGCATATTCCACCCTGTAGACAATCAGACGATTTGGAAGGCTGCCAACTATAAAGATAACTCGGGACTCCACTCCGAACAGACAGTCAGACTGCAATTGTTCCTCCTTAAAGTGGCCTCTATGGCACTTCCAATCAGTTGGGATCTGAGCCTTCCTCGTTCTTGTTGAAATAAATCCCGGTCCAATGTGCGAGGACCAGACGTTTGTGGCACTCACAGACGGGCTGTTAGCATTGACAGTCATTGTACCCAATGGTGGATGAATATGATCAGCAGGCAGAAATCGACGCACCACGTCCTAGTTCATCGGTTATCCGACATTTCAAACAGCAATTCCGTCAATGTCTGAACACCACCTGCCGATCCGACGCTGTGTGCGTATTTCATTGCCTCTTGC